GTGTGTGTGGTGGTGGGCACCTGTAATCCCAGCTACTCAGGAGGCTGAGGCATGAGAATTGCTTGAACCCGGGAGGTGGAGGTCGCAGTGAGCTGAGATCACACTACTGCACTCCAGCCTGGGTGACAGAACAAGACTGTCTTAAAAAAAAGGAAAAGAAATTAGCTGGGCTTGGTGGTACATGCCTATAGTCCCAGCTACTCAGGAGGCTAAGGCAGGAGGATTGCCTGAGCCTAGGTGGTTGAGGCTGCAGTGAGCTATGATTGGACCACTACACTCCAGCCTGGCGACAGAGCAAGACCCTGTCTTAAAAAAAAAAAAAAAAAAGGCCAGGCGCAGTGACTCACACCTGTAATCCCAGCACTTTGGGAGGCCAGGCAGGCGGATCACCTGAGGTCAAGAGTTCGAGACCAGCCTAGCCAACATAGTAAAACCCCGTCTCTACTAAAAATATAAAAAATTAGCCAGACATGTGACAGGCGCCTGTAATCCCAGCTACTCAGGAGACTGAGGCAGGAGAAAAGAAAAGAGAAAAAAAGCCAGAGTCCTCTCCAAAACCCACCAAGCCCTACACAACCACCCTCACCTTCCCCACTCCCGCTTCTCTCCCACTCCACCCACACTGGCCTTACTGCCACTCTCCCTCTGCACTTACCCCAGGGCCTTTGCACGTGCTGTTTCGGCTGCCTGGAACTCCCTTCCCCACTGGCTGGCCCCTGGATGCCGTTCACAGCCAGCTGAGACATCCCCCTCCCTGACCAGCCACTGTCCACTCTCATTCCCTTCCATCCCTCACCCCCATGAAGCTCCTTGGCCCCAGTCATGAGTTTGCCTCTTCAAAACGGTGCCCCCAGATCGCCGCCTCCTTGGGGCCAGGGGCCATGCCTCCCTCCCACTTACCCACCACATCTACCAGGCCAGCCACCACATCGGCCCCTCGGGGGATTGGCAAGAATCCCAAACGAAAAGAATGCTGCTTCTCCTTTCAGTTTGCTCCGATGTCGGATGACGAGAGCCCTGCATCGTCCTCGGCAGAAGAGTAGCCGTGAGGGAGGCCACACGCGGACCCCCCATGGAGGGCCAACCGTCCCTTGTCCCCATCTCCTCCTTGTTCCCGTTCATCCCTGACCCACCCCACTCCCAATCCCCAGGGCCCATGGCTCAAAGGCAAGCACGTTTTCCCTCTGCTTCCCTGGGGGAGCCCGACGGCCACAGGACTCCAGCTCCAAGTGGGTTTTCTTGGCTCCCCGGTTCAAAGCAGCCGCAGCGCAGACCGAAGCGAAATTCTTGTATACATTGGCGCCAGGGCCGATGCTGGGGTGTGGGTTTTATGAAGAACATTGAGAACAATCAGCTGGTAATTATGGATGCAGGAAGAGGGAACAGAAAAAAATATTGTATTTTTGAATCATTGTTGCGGGTGGGGGGGGGGCGGGAGTCTTATGATTTGTTGCCAGATTTGAAAGTCACTGGAACTTGTCTTTTCATTTTAATGCTAAGTGTTATTTCGCACCAGTTGGGGCTCACCCTTCATCCCTCACATTTAATTGTCTGGTGTAGACTAGTGTTATGTCCACTGCCTCCCAGACGGCTTTCTTAGGGGAATTTTCTCCTGGTTGTTTCACGAGACAGATTCTGTCCTTGTTACCTCTGTCTTTTTACCCTCATTCAAATGAAGGGACTCAGGACAGGCTCTGTGACTTACAGGGAACCAATTCACAATGAGAAATTATGGGCCAGGCATGGTGGCTCACGTCTGTAATCCCAGCACTTTGGGAAGCCAAGGCAGGAGCTTGAGCCCAGAGTTCAAGACCAGCCTGAGCAACACAGCAAGACCCATTTCTACAAGAAATTTACAAGTTAGCCGGGTGTGGTGGTGCGCGCCTGTAGTCCCAGCTACTTGGGAGGCTGAGCCCCGAGGTCAAGGCTGCAGTGAGCTATGATCACACCACTGCATTTCAGCCTGGGCCACATGGCGAGATCCTGTCTCAAGGAGAAAAGAAAGGGAGAGCAAGGGAGAAATCACTCAGAAACCCGTCCCTTCCCCACATGGAAGCCTTGGCAAAGGTTAATTTTCCTAGAAAATCCTTCAGACCTGAAGATGCAGGAAGGGGATCTGGCTCTCAGGTTGGCTTCTGTATCCCCCCACCCTGCCAGGCCCCAGACTACGGTCACAGGGCCATCCTGTTCCTCCCTGGGGCTCTAGAATTTCTCTCCTCAAAGGAAAGAAAACAGGGCATGCGCTTGTTGGCAAAGCACAGGGCCAGCTCCCAAAAACCCCATGTGTGCACAATTAAAAGTTGGCCGTCCCCAGGCCTCCCAGCACAAACTTAAAGAGACAGGGCTTTGCTGAAAACCAAACATGGGCCAGCTGGGTTTTTTAACAACCCAGAGACTTTCCGGAGCTGCCTGGACCAGAGCCTGCGGGAAACGGGGCTTGCCAGAGACACTCACAGTTTCCTTCGTGGCCTGCTCTGTCCCCCAAGAATCTCCACATCATTTTCTTTCTTGTGCCTTTTCCTTGGTGAGCAAGAGAAAGGGAAGGGTTCCAAGCCTCTAAAAATGTGCCTTGTGATCAGGAGTGTGCTCCAAACCAAATATGTGTGCTGCCCTTTGGAGGCCAGTGAGCTCAGCTTCCACGGCTTTAAAGCCAAATTTCAGCAAGAGTGCAGAGAGCTCACAGGTTCATGAAAGAAAGCAAAGCACTGGTTTCCCTCCTTAGAAAAGCAGGTTCCTTGGCTCGATGTAGATGGGCTTGCTTTGATTTTTAGTGAAGGGAATGTACGTAAAACAAAATAGGGCTTGGCTGGTCAAAAGAGACGAGCAGGATGGCAGGATGGATGGAGGATAGATGGATGGATGGATGGATGGATGGATGGATGGAGGATGCATGGATGGAGGATTGATGGATGGAGAATGGATGGATGGAGGATGCATGGATGGAGGATGGATGGATGGAGAATGAATGGATGGATGGAGAATGAATGAATGGATGGTGGATGGATGGATGGACAGACGGTTGGTGTTTGTGTGTAAATTGCAGAGAAAACAAAACCAAAGCTGATTGGGAGCCATTGCTGGTGTCTGAGGGGGAAGGGGCAGCTTTGAGAAGCGGTACGAGAGTCCTGTGCCTGTGTGTCCAGCCCTGGAGCCAGCCAGCACATTTATTTTAAGCTCCTAGAAGCAACTCCTGGGCCCAGAAATGCGTGACCCCTGAGATGGGTCCATGTGTCTCTCTGCACTTCTTCTCTCAGTGGGCTACAGGGATCCTGCCCGTGTGCCCATTCTTTTCTCACGCATCTCCATGAGCTTTAATTTCACTTTCTGATCATGGTACGTCCATAAAGCCAGTATTACACTTACATGAAGTATTCTTTTTTGTAATCATTTTTTTAGAAGGTAAACAAATTTAATAAACCTACCAATAATAATGATTCTGTGTCTTTTTTCACTGTGCTCCCTTTTAAGCTTTAAAATAGATACATTTTTCTTTTTTCTTCTTCTTTTTTTGAGACGGAGTTTTGCTCTTGTCACCCAGGCTGGGGTGCAATGGCACAATCTTGGCTCACTGCAACCTCCGCCTCCTAGATTAAAGTGATTCTTCTGCCTCAGCCTTCTGAGTAGCTAGGACTACAGGCACCTGCCACCACACCCAGCTAATTTTTGTATTTTTAGTAGAGATGGGGTTTCATCATGTTAGCCAGGCTGATCTCAAACTCCTGACCTCAGATGATCCCCCCACCTCAGCCTCCCAAAGTGCTGGGATTACAGGCGTCAGCCACTGCACCTGACTTGGTTTTTGTGTTTTTGTTTGTTTTTTTGGAGACAGAGTCTCACTGTGTCTCCTAGGTTGTAGTGCAGTGGTGCATAGCTCACTGGAGCCTCCACCTCCAGGGCTCAAGTGATCCTCCCACCTCAACCGCCTGAGTAGCTAGGAGTACAGGCATGTAGCGTGACCCCTATTTTTTTATTTTTTTTTTTGTTAGAGACAGAGACTACCAAAATTCCCCAGGCTGGAGTGCAGTGGTGCAATCTTGGCTCACTGAAACCTCACTTCCTGGGTTTAAGTGATTTTCCTGCCTCAGCCTCCTCCCTAGTTGCTGGGATTATAGGCATCCACCACCATGCCAGGCTAATTTTTGTATTTTTTTTTTTTTTTCGAGACGGAGTTTCACTCATGTTACCCAGGCTGGAGTACAATGGCGCGATCTCGGCTCACCGCAACCTCCGCCTCCTGGGTTCAGGCAATTCTCCTGCCCCAGCCTCCTGAGTAGCTGGGATTACAGGCACGCACCACCATGCCCAGCTAATTTTTTGTAGTTTTAGTAGAGACAGGGTTTCACCATGTTGACCAGGATGGTCTCGATCTCTTGACCTCGTGATCCACCTGCCTTGGCCTCCCAAAGTGCTGGGATTACAGGCTTGAGCCACCGCGCCCGGCCATGCCCTTTTTTTTTTGAGACAGAGTCTCGCTTTGTCACCGGGGCTGGAGTGCAGTGGTGCGATCTCGGCTCACTGCAACCTCCACCTCCCACGTTCAAGCGATTCTCCTGCCTCAGCTTCCTGAGTAGCTGGGATTATAGGTGCCCACCACCACCACACCCGGCTAATTTTTTGTATTTTTAGTAGAGACGGGTTTTACTATATTGGCCATGCTGGTCTTGAACTCCTGACCTCTTGATCTGCCCGCCTTGGCCTCCCAAAGTGCTGGGATTACAGACGTGAGCCACCGTGCCCAGCAACATCCATGGCTTTTTTGCAAACAGCACTTCTGGAGTCACCGGCACCAGTATAGGAAAAGGAGTATCTTGGTCCCAGCAGCCCGGGCCCTCCCCCTCAGATCTCCCAGAGGGGGTCATATCTCCTGACTTCTCATTTCCTCTGTTTATCCCCTAGGCTGTTCAGCCAGGAGATAACAGAAGGTTTTGGAAGCCCCAGAAATGTTATGCTAAGGAGTGTATTTCTAGGCAGAAGATCCATTGCTCTTGTCAATTTCCTCTGGATTTGCCAGCCAAGAAGGGATTTTAGGAAAGAAACTTTCTCACAATGCAACTGCCAGACCCATTTGTCATGATCTTTATTTCTTTTGTTCAGCTCACCCTTGAGACCCCATTCCCCCCAACCTCCCCTCACATAGTTTCTTGCTTTGCTTTTTTTTTTAGTTTATTTTAAATTTTAATTGTGGTAAAGTATACATGGCATGAAGTGTACCATTTTAACCATTTTAAAGTGCAGAGGTCAGTGGTATTAAGTACATTCACACTGTTGTGCAACCATTACCACCCTCCAGCTCCAAAACTTTCTCAGTTTGCAAAACTGAAACTGTCCCCATGAAACACTCACTCCGAATCCTCCTCCTCAGCCCCTAGTACCCACCATTCTACTTTCTGCCTTTATTAATTGGATGACTCTAGGGATCTCATATAAGTGGAATTACACAGTGTTTGTCTTTTTGTGTCTGGCTTTTTTTTTTTTGAGACAGAGTTTCACTCATGTTACCCAGGCTGGATTGCAATGGCGCGATCTCGGCCCACCGCAACCTCCGCCTCCTGGGCTCAGGCAATTCTCCTGCCTCAGCCTCCTGAGTAGCTGGGATTACAGGCACGCACCACCATGCCCAGCTAATTTTTTTGTATTTTTAGTAGAGACGGGGTTTCACCATGTTGACCAGGTCTCGATCTCTTGACCTCGTGATCCACCCGCCTCGGCCTCCCAAAGTGCTGGGATTACAGGCTTGAGCCACCGCGCCCGGCCTGTGTCTGGCTTTTTGAGACGGAGTCTCTGTCACCAGGCTGGAGTGCAATGGTGCAATCTAAGCTCACTGCAACCTCTGCCTCCTGGGTTCACATGATTCTCCTGCCTCAGCCTCCCTAGTAGCTAGGATTACAGGCACATGCCACCATAGCCAGCTAACTTTTGTATTTTTAGTAGAGACAGGGTTTCACCATGTTGGCCAAGATGGTCTTGATCTCCCAACCTCGTGATCCGCCCACCTCGGCCTCTCAAAGTCCCGGGATTACAGGCGTGAGCCATTGCGCCCGGCCCTGCCTGTTTCTGGCTTATTTCACAAACACGTCTTCATCCACCTTGTAGCATGTGTCAGAATTTCCTTTCTTTTTTTTTTTGAGACTAAGTTTTGCTCTTGTTGTCCAGGCTGGAGTGCAGTGGTGCCACCTCAGCTCACTGTAACCTCTGCCTCCCAAGTTCGAGTGATTCTCCTGCCTCAGCCTTCCAAGTAGCAGGGATTATAGGCACACACCACCATGATTGGCTAAATTTTGTATTTTTAGTAGAGATGGTGTTTCACTATGTTGGCCAGGCTGGTCTGGAACTCCTGATCTCAGGTAACCCACCCACCTAGGCCTCCCAAAGTGCTGAGATTACAGGTGTGAGCCACTGCATCCAGTCAGAATTTTCTTCCTTTTTAAGGCCTATAATCCCAGCATTTTGCGAGGCTGAGGCAAGAGAATCATTTGAGCCCAGGAGTTTCAGACCAGCCTACGTAATATAGTGAGACCCTCATCTCTAGAAAAAAAAAAATTCACGGCTGTAATCTCAGCACTTTGGGAGGCCGAGGCAGGCAAATCACGAGGTCAAGAGATCAAGACCATCCTGGCCAACATGATGAAACCCCGTCTCTACTAAAAATACAAAAAAAAATTAGCCAGACATGGTGGTGCACCCCTATAATCCCAGCTACTCAAGAGGCTGAGGTGGAATAATTGCTTGAACTGGGAGGCGGAGGTTGCAGTGAGCTGAGATCGTGCCACTGCACTCCAGCCTAGAGACAGAGCAAGACTCCATCTCACAAAAACAAAAACAAAAACAAAAAAATTGGCTAGGTGTAGTGGCATGTGCCTGTAGTCCCAGCTATTTGGGAGACTAAAATGGGAAGATTGCTTGAGCCCAGGAGGTCAAAGCTGTAATGAGCCATGATCACATACATCACTGCTGCGCTCCAGCCTGGCAGACAGAGATCCTGTCTCAAAACAACAACAAAAAAAATTGTGGCCTGGGCATGGTGGCTCACACCTATAATCCCCGCACTTTGGGAGGCCTAGGTGGGTGGATCATCTGAGGTCAGGCGTTCAAGACCAGCCTGGCCAACATTGTGAAAACCTGCCTCTACTAAAAATTTAAAAATTAGCTGGGCGTGGTGGTGGGCGCCTGTAATCCCAGCTACTCAGGAGACTGAGGCAGGAGAATCGCTTGAACCTGGGAGACGGAGGTTACAATGAGCCGAAGTCGCACCACTGCACTCCAGCCTAGGGGACAGAGCGAGACTCTATCTCAAAAAAAAAAAAAAAAAAAAACGGGTTGTACGATGGACCACGTTTTGTTTATTAATTCTTCTATCTAAGAACACTTGTGCTGTTTTCACTTTTTATCTATTGTGAATAATGGCTGCTATGAATATGTATGGGCAAATATCTGTTCTAGAACCTGCTTTCAATTCTTTTTTTTTTTTTTTTTTTTGAGATAGAGTTTCACTCTTATTGCCCAGGCTTATTGTAGTGCAATGTCATGATCTTGGCTCACTGCAACCTCCGTCTCCCGGGTTCAAGCGATTCTCCTGCCTCAGCCTCCCGAGGAGCTGGGATTACAGGCATGCGCCACCATACCCGGCTAATTTTGTATTTTTAGTAGAGATGGGGTTTCTCCATGTTGGTCAGGCTGGTCTCAAACTCCCGACCTCAGGTGATCCACCCATCTCGGCCTCCCAAAGTGCTGGGATTACAGGCGTGAGCCACTGAGCCCGGCCCTGCTTTCAGTTCTTTTGGGGAT